CCTTCGCTACCCTTTCCTCATGTCATATGTATTCAAAGCTATTTTATGGTTATCTGATTTTCTTGTATCTTTCTCAAAGCACAGATTGGACATGACCTCCCAGCACCAAACACCCAGTGGGGAGTTGCATGGGCTCCATATGTGTGTTGGGTGGAGGAGTGTGCGTGTGTCTTTGTCGGGGGGAAAGATGCATTCTTTCCCTCTGAACACAAGGTAAAATCATGAATAAAATTAGCAATAATCCAATCATGGATTAGTATCAGTACACTTCAAGTCTAAAACTAGCATTGAAAAATGGAAACAAGCGGGCCAGAGTGAACAATTAATATTATTAAACAATAACAGAATCAAAGGTGTTTCATGCAATGCTTATTTGTGCATAGGTTATGGATTGTAGATTTGTGGGGGATTTTCTGTTGCATGCTTGTTTTGCTGTAACCAAATTATAGGTGTATGTGCTCAGAGTTTTTTTTGCTGCTCTCTTGCTTGTTTTTCTTTGATGTGGAAAGTCTTGATAAACTGTTCTTAAAAACAAAAGGTTTATTTGGAAAGGTAAAGTCTTTGTATGCTGGTGGAGCACAGATAAAGGGGAAGATGATCTAACCTCTTGGCACAGGGATTTCCACCTAGGGAAAGCTATACCCCACAAAGCAACGGCCCATGGAAGAGAGCCATATTGGCCCATCTTAGAAGATGGGATTCACCTGGGAGGTGGTAGTCCTTCAAACAGATTGGTTCCAAGCAGGGCCGGATTTAGGTTTGATGAGACCCTAAGCTACTGAAGGTAATGGGGCCCTTTATATGTCCAGCTGTCCTTTGTCAACAACAAATTGTCGCTGTTTTTTTGTGTTGAATATATGCTATGTGGTAATTTATGGACCCAAAAGGTATCTAAAGCCATTTGCACATAACAAAAGAACCAGTCCATGCAGAATGTAGGCACCCTATGTATAGAAATGAGCAAACCAGTGATATTTTAGGGAGCAGGCTAGCAGGCGGGGCCCATTACTTACATCATAGGAGCCTACACAACACAAAACACTGTTGCTGTGTGTAGGTTTTATGTTATTTGTTTTTTATCTTATATTTTAGAAATGTACATCCAGTTTTTTCCCCTTTTAAATTTTTTTGGGGGCCCCCAAGAGAGTGGGGCACTAGGCTATAGTTTGTTTAGCTTATACAGTGGTACCTTGGGTTAAGAACTTAATTCGTTCCGGAGATCCGTTCTTAACCTGAAACTGTTCTTAACCTGAGGTACCACTTTAGCTAATGGGGCCTCCCGCTGCCGCTGCGCCACCAGAGCACAATTTCTGTTCTTATCCCGAAGCAAAGTTCATAACCCGAGGTACTATTTCTGGGTTAGCGGAGTCTGTAACCTGAAGCGTCTGTAACCCGAGGTACCACTGTACATAAATCTGGCACTGGTCCCAAGCTGCTTGGAGCTCTAAAGGTGATTACCAGCTCTTCAAATTGCATTCAGAAATGAATAAGCAGCCACTGTATAGGAACACAGGAAGCTGCCTTCTACCCAGTCTGGTCATTGGTCCGTGTCACTTAGTATTGTCCACACCTCCTGGCAGTGGCTCTTCAGGATTTTAGATGGGGCACATTTCCTGTCCTACCTGGAGGTGCCAGGATTGGAACCTCGGACCTTCTGTAGACAAAGTGGATGCTCCACTGCTGAGCTACAGGCCTCCCCCCTATTGATGTTATAATAAAAGGGTCACATGATCCTAACACTTGGTCCCAATAAAGATTTTAGCGGCAGCATTCTGCCTGTACCAAATGACATTTCAGGGTTTTTTCTTTCTTTCACGGACAATGAGCAAGTCCACTCAAGATGTAAATTATAAATGTTAATCCATGACCAGGCCTGAGTATATCAGCATAGATGCAGCTGTGTGAGCTTATATATGAGCTCCCTTGCCACACTTTACAATACTCAGAAGAAAGGAACGCACTCATGCTCCTAATTTTTGCTACATCTCATAAGGTGCAAAGCTGCCCAAGTTATCTTATGTAAGTCTCTTGAGACCTCTTGTTTGCTTCCTTTTGTAAACTTAGAATAATACTGTTTACTTACATGCCTTGTGGGCACGTCTGGAGTTTAATTAACAGATTATTTTACAGTGCTTCGTGTGTCACAGAATCCAAAGGAGGCAATAAATCCAAGACGATGTATTGTTTGTATACATTTCATCACATATATATTGGTTGGCAGAGAAACTACATGAAACAGAAGCCTTATCCTTTAAGCATCAGCTGGGCTGGTAATAATGAAAAGACCATTCAATGTGTATATCTATATGAAATCAAAAGAACAATTTTAAGACAGCTGGGGCAGGAGAGAGTTAAAATTATTTTTGATCTTCATACTCAGACTGCTGCTGAAAACTGTCCTATGGGTTATTTTCCTGTAAGCTTAGATTGAATATTGCAGAGAATAGTTTGGTTTTAAAGGATCAATGGCCATCACATACATGATCCTACAGAAATGGAAAAATATGGGGAGGGGAAACCATTTAATGGAATTAGCCATCAAAGAAAGGGTATCTTACAACTGTATGAGAATGGCTATTTGAATATAACAACAACAATGCAATCGTGGGACTGCTTGAAAAAGCCAAATTTCATCAGTGCCCCTCCATAGCATCTTCCTCTGTCTATGCTCTGGTACCCTCTAGGTTAGATTATTGCAATGCATAATGAAAGGGAATATTCCTAGCAGTGGCAGACTTTGGGCTCTCAAATTTTATCAGCACTTGGTGTGACACTAAAATTTGGCACCCCCTACCTCTCACGGTCCATTCTACATCAGTGTTGCAGTGCTCCCTGTGGTGCTGGTGCCCAGTGTGGCCAAACTGGTCATGCTATCCTAAAATCACCTCTGTTGCCAGTCCTAGCCTTACCTTTCTTGCCCCGAGCTGGCCACAGTGATCCATGCAATGGTCACCTCCAGGCTTGATTACTGTAATTCGCTCTATGCTAAGGTTACCAGATTTTTTCCAGTGAATCCGGGGACACGTTTCAACTTTATATGAAATTTGTATGGGGACTGATTTGTAAATCTGGGGACTGTCCCTGGGAAACACGGACATCTGGTAACCTTACTCTATGCGGGGCTGCCCTTGAAGCTGACTCAGAAACTCCAGTGGGTGCAGAATACCACGGCGAGACCTCTTACGGGGTCCTTGCCGCGGGATCCCATTCATCTAGTGCTTTACCAGCTGCACTGGCTCCTGGTGGAGTACAGGGTCAGGTTTAAGGTGCTGGCTTTGACCTTTAAAGCCCTATGCAGCCTAGGACCCTTGTACCTACAGGACCACCTCTCCTGGTATGCCCCACGGAGGACCTTAAGGTCCATAAATAACAACACTTGTCCTGAGCCCCAAGGAGGTTAGATTGGCCTCAACCAGGGCCAGGGCCTTTTCAGCTCTGGCTCCGGCCTGGTTGAACTCTCTGTCACAAGAGACTAGGGCCTTGCAGGATTTGACATCTTTCTGCAGGGTCTACAAGACGGAGCTGTTCCACCTGGCCTTTGGGCTGGACTCAGTCTAACCCTCCCTCTAATTTATCTCTCTCTCTCTCTTTTTGTTTTGATGGAACCCCTTATATGGGATTTAGAATCATAGAATCATAGAGTTGGAAGAGACCACAAGGGCCATCGAGTCCAACCCCCTGCCAAGCAGGAAACACCATCAGAGCACTCCTGACATATGGCTGTCAAGCTTCTGCTTAAAGACCTCCAAAGAAGGAGACTCCACCACACTCCTTGGCAGCAAATTCCACTGTCGAACAGCTCTTACTGTCAGGAAGTTCTTCCTAATGTTTAGGTGGAATCTTCTTTCTTGTAGTTTGGATCCATTGCTCCGTGTCCGCTTCTCTGGAGCAGCAGAAAACAACCTTTCTCCCTCCTCTATGTGACATCCTTTTATATATTTGAACATGGCTATCATATCACCCCTTAACCTCCTCTTCTCTAGGCTAAACATGCCCAGCTCCCTTAGCCGTTCCTCATAAGGCATCGTTTCCAGGACTTTGACCATTTTGGTTGCCCTCCTCTGGACACGTTCCAGTTTGTCAGTGTCCTTCTTGAACTGTGGTGCCCAGAACTGGACACAGTACTCCAGGTGAGGTCTGACCAGAGCAGAATACAGTGGCACTATTACTTCCCTTGATCTAGATGCTATACTCCTATTGATGCAGCCCAGAATTGCATTGGCTTTTTAGCTGCCACGTCACACTGTTGGCTCATGTCAAGTTTGTGGTCAGCCAAGACTCCTAGATCCTTTTCACATGTACTGCTCTCAAGCCAGGTGTCACCCATCTTGTATTTGTGCCTCTCATTTTTTTGCCCAAGTGCAATACTTTACATTTCTCCCTGTTAAAATTCATCTTGTTTGTTTTGGCCCAGTTCTCTAATCTGTCAAGGTCGTTTTGAAGTGTGATCCTGTCCTCTGGGGTGTCAGCCACCCCTCCCAGTTTGGTGTCATCTGCAAATTTGATCAGGATGCCCTTGAGTCCATCATCCAAGTCGTTGATAAAGATGTTGAATAAGACCGGGCCCAAGACAGAACCCTGTGGCACCCCACCAGTCACTCTTCTCCAGGATGAAGAGGAACCATTGATGAGCACCCTTTGGGTTCGGTCAGTCAGCCAGTTACAAATCCACTGAGTGGTAGCATAGTCAAGCATAGTCATATAAATTTCCTTCGGCTCTGTTTGCTGGCCCATGTAGGACCAGCATGGTTGGCTCTGGTGAATATTTGACATTTTCTCCCCTTATGGCTTTGATCTATAGACTACCACTAAAATGAAACTGCATTTTAAGCTGCATTTTAAGCTGTATTCTAACTTATATTTTAATCAACTGTTTGGTTTTTTAAAAATGTTTTTACTGTATTTATATTCGGTGTTAGCCACTCTGAGCCTGGTCGTGGCTGGAGGGGGTGGGGTATAAATAAAAAATTATTATTATTATTATTATTATTATTACTAGCTGGAGATCCCAGGGATTGAACCTAGCACCTTCTGCATGCAAATCAGATGCACTGGCACTGAGCTATGAATCTCCCCCCCCTGTCCGCATACTTCCTTCTCTGCAGGTGAAGGGGGAAGATCTGCTCTGCCCTACAGTCCCTGATGGAACATCAACCCATGGACCATAGGATTGCACTTACCTAGATACAGAGATTTCTAGGTAGGGCTCCAGAGCCCGCTAGAAGGCTTTCACCGGAGCTACAACAGTATGAAATACTGATCGTTATTTTCTCTTGAGGAGAGTTTAGGCAAAAGGAGGAGGAGAAAACCATGTCTTTTTCCCTTTCAAAAAGAAGCTGCTCAAATGAACTAACATAGTCTATAAAGTAGAAAGGCTACATGAGTTTCCCATGGGAGGAAGTGCTACAAATCTGATGTTGGTCCCGTTCAGTCAAGTCCAAATTCTAATGTATGGAGTCCCTCATCCTGCTATTTATGGAATGTCTACATAGGTGTGTATATTGTATATGGTTAGCTACTGTAGGCTGTCACCTGACATACAATTTAAAAATAAATGTGTGAATCAAACAGTGTGCCTCCTCCTTTTTTATGTCTTTCCAATATGGGGAACTTTGCGGGAAACAGCAGAAAATCAGGAGTTCTCCTTGCTATCGTTTCTGTTAGCAAAGAATGGCTGTTGCCCTAGCTGTCACTGTTGGCTTACCAGCTATTTTAATCAGGAAGAAAAAGAAGGTGAATCACAGGAATTATTTCTAAAGTGGATTAGAGCCATGCCTTTAGGTACAGTTCAGAGCCCATCTAAGCATGGCACCAAACAATGATGCCAGATGCATAAAAGGCAGGTGCCAATATTTTTACAGGAAACAGATGCAAAAACTTGCACTTCTGCCTCCTCTAATATCTCCTAATCTCTAATGTCACCTGCTGGTTTAGACTTCCCATTATGGGGGGGGGGGTGTTAGATCATTTCGAATCTTTTTGGCTAGCAGCGATTATTGGAACTCTGGAAATTGTTCCTGTTCTCTTCATGAATATCTGCCTTTGCATCTTATGAAATCTGTAGCCTTACCAGCCTCTAATGACAATCAGTGCTATGGTAATTCTACAATGTGTGAGTTCTCCCTGTTCTTCTTTGTTTTGCTATTAGAGGGGAGAAAGCTAACGTAATCTACCTGCAAAATAATTTGCTATTATGTGTATTTCCAAAATGTCTCCAGCTGAGAACACCACTCTGAGCCTCTTAGATTACCAACCAAATATAGAAAGATCCTTATATATCTGCTTTTATGTAAGCTGAAAGGGATGGTAATTAGAAAGTACTGCAATGATGCCTAAACAAAGCCTCTTTTAACATTTGGGTAAAGATGGCTTCAAAAACTCCCAGGAGTTTTTTTTACACTCCTGTTCATAGAGACACATGCTTAGAGTCAAATTGCTTTTTTCTGTTTTTAGAGGAAGGAGATAAAATTATTTATTAATAACATATTTCGGTGAATTCTTTTTTTTAAAAACCCCCAGAAAAACTAAAGTTGGGGCATAGACATAATATGGAACAGTTGCCCTTATTGTAGACAAAATGGTTAAATGCCGATTTCCCTTAAAAATAGCTCAAAAATGTCTTTTTTTTGCAATTTTGCCAGAAAAGCTCAACAACTTTGGGCAAAAAAAAAAAAAAAAAGGAAAAGAAAAGCTCAACAACTTTAGTATCTAGATTTTCACATTTTGAAATATTGCAACTCTAACCTAGATTGACCTCATGCTGAATCCATAAATGGACATTCCTAGCTATGTGAAAGTTCCTGAGTTGCATTTGCTGATTTATGATATATATTACTTAAGGCTGACTCACATGACCCTCTTTGCGTAGTCAACAGTGGAACGGTCATCATTACTTCACAATACATCCAGATTGAGACTCAATATGCCAATATACATTTTCTAGGAGCTGAACCATGGTACACTAAATCGTGATCTAAGTGCCCAGACTCAGTCCCTACCTGTTCCTTTCCAATTAATGTGCTATGTGAATTGGGCTTGATTTGGCTTACAAGGCATAGGTTGCTTCCAGACTGTCACTATTTTGTGGGTGGGAATGTCACATGCCGGGAAATTCAGATTGAGCAATTGAAGTGAATTTTGTGCTCTTGTACACAAAGCTACTTTTTAAAAATTTAAAAATGGACTTTTGTGGTAAGGAAAGTGATGGGGAAATCCACTCAAAAGTGTGGGATAGCAGTTCATTGATGTGACATTGTCCCTCTAATTAAATCAGGATCAATGGTCAATAAACAGGTCATCAGGAAGTGACCACAGTATATCTGGATTAAGTTTCCATATAGAATACTTCATCACAAAAATGATTTGAAGGGACAAAATTGTATTTCCCACCCTTCAGTGCTGGCTTAGTGAAAAAATGAGATGCTATTGATCTAGCATAACAACTTTGGAAAGATATGTATAATTTATTTGAAAATCCATAGTAAGGCGATACCTTTATTATTCAAACCAAAATGCCACAAAACAAAGAGTTATTCAGTTCATTATTTATATGTTGAACAAAGTGGGGGTGGGGGGAGCTGGCTATAAAAATCATAATGTTTACATTCTTTATATAAAATATAAATACCGCCCTCACAAGGCAACAAGACTATAAGACACATGGAATTACATTACGCAACACACACAAAACAGCAGCAGCTAAGGAATTTTCGAATGCAGTGCAATTGAGCGGAATGCAGCCTTGAAATGCAGACAGGGCCATAGCTCTGGGGCAGACTGCCCCCCATGCAGTCTGTGGCCTCTCCAGACAGTGCTGGGAGGTACACCTGTCTGAAATTCTGCAGGGTCAGTAGGTAGATGGTACAAAACTGGATGGACCAATTGTGTTAGGCAGCTTCCTACATTCCTAGGAATAAATGCATCTTCACAGTTTTGAAAACACTGACAGTGATGAGGTCATTGCATACGTCCCTGGGAAGAAGAGTTTCAAAGGTGTGGGGCCACCACTGAGAAAGCTCTATCCATAGTAGCTGTCAACCTAATGGCTGCTGCTGGCAGGCCAGAGAGCAGGGTCTTAGATGCTGCTTGGGCTGGCTCAGATGGAGGCACTGCTTCAGAGAATGTGGTCCCAAACCATTTAGAGCTGTTATGGCCAAAGACAGCACCTTGAATTATGCACCTAGGAAAAAACAGGATGTGACCTTAAGGAGAAGTATGTATAGCAAGATATCATCATCATCATTATCATCATTATACCATCCTTCATCCAAAGATCACGGGGGGGGGGGGTTACATTATAAAGTTGTTGAACTTCAACTTCCAGCATCCCCAGCCAGAAGGTTCAATGGTCAAGGATAATGGGAGTTGCAGTCCAGAAATATCTGGAAAACCCAACTACTAGCCATCCTGGCCAGAGCAGATCGCAAATTTGGGATGCAGGAAGTGGTAGCACTGGTCACAGGCTTAATATGGAGTGCAGTGAGTGGTAGCAAAAGTAATAGATCAGGTCCTCATTAGGTACTGTGATTAGATAGGGATTGTGGGGTGAAGAAACACACAATCTGGGTTCCCAATTTTTTAAAAATAAAACACTATCAGTTCCCTAGATGCATCCCCAGGCTTAAGGGAAACACACCCAGGTCCCTTGTGTCAGAATTTTTACAGCAGGCAAAGGCCTAGGCAACCCAATCTACATGCAGAGTGAAAGCTGCTGATCCAAATCCTGTGTGAAAATAATATATAAGACATTAAAAAACTCAAGAGAGCTTGAAGCTTTGGCAGAACCACCCTCCCCCCCAAACCCTGTAGCAATAGAATAGTGTGTTTGGAAGCAAGTGTCAGAGCATCCCTGGCAACAGTATAAGATGCCTGCAACTTTCCTTTCATTTATGCAGAAAACACATTGTGGAGGCAGTGTGATGGTACATTGATACAGCAGGCAAGGTCCAGTTTCCAAATATTTGCACCTGGAGGAAAAAGGCTTGTTTGGCTTGAATGTGTGTGAGAGAAGAGACAGAAAGAGGAAAGGAGGGAGACGAGAAAGAGAGAGCATTTTTTTGTGGCAGAGGCTGTGGCATTTCCAGCAAAATTTCTCTGAAGCTATTAATTGGTTTGTACATCTCTGCAGTGCAGTTAGAGTCCACCTCCCCCCACGACAACCATCCTTTTCAAAATATTTATTGTACTAGTAGTATTATGCATGGGTGGGACCAAGTATATAATATTTTCTTTGGCAACTAAGCCAGCTAACCGCCCACACAAAAATGGAACGCATTGGACCAATATTAACCTGCTGAATAAGATAAGGGCTTTAGAAATTCACTGCAACAGAGAAGAAATATGTGCCCTCAGGGCTGTCTCTCCGTACAATGAAATGAAATGTCCCTTTTAAAAGCTCAGTGTTGCACTAGACTGCCTACCCACATGTGTATCCAGGATACAGAGGACTACAATGCCCCTGGTGTAATTATTGTACACGGTCTTTGCCCTGAGATGCATGGGCGATCTGGAATGTTTTTCACACAGAAATTATCATTGCTGTTGATACATTCTTTTTCCTTGCAATTTAGGATAACACGGGGACCAAATTGGAGAGAAATGTTTTTTTCTCCCTTTCTCATGATACTTCAATTTGACCCACCCAATGAAGCTGAATGTTGGAAGCTTTAGGATGGCAAAACATTCAATATTTCTTCAAGTGGCACATAATTAAACTATGCCTGGAGACACCCAATCAGGTTGTGCATAGCAGTGACCGGAGGAGAAGTGACAGCTGGGAGGAACGCGGAGAGAGGAGAAGCCATGGTGCTTCCATAGCATCACAACTGGATGCCTACATCTTCCCCAGCTGCAACAAAACATGTCTCTCCCATATCATTCTCTACAGCTACAGCAGGCACTGTAACCTTCAACAGTTTTGACTTTCTCCTCAAAGGTGCATCCTCCATTATCTCCCTAGACAGACAGATGCCAACCAATCAAGTAACAGCCACCAACTTGGATGGCTTTAAACACATGGAGGATAAGGCAATCAATGGCTACCAGGCTATAGATCAGCTCAGTATTAGAGGCTAT